TCTGACATTTCTTTGTTGATATTTTATCTTGTGGATCTGTCTATTTTTGAGTGTGGTGTATTGAGGTCCTCATTACTATTCTATTGATGTTTGTCCGATGTTTTGTGTTCAGTAGTATTTGTTTTACAAAGTTGGAAGTGACAGTATTTGATACATTTACAATTGTTATCTCTTCCTGTTGAATTCTTCCCATTGTCTTTATGTAGTTTCTCTCTCTCTCCCTCTCTCTCCCTCTCTCTCTCTCTGTCTCTCTCTCTCACTTTGTTCTTGGTTTTCTGAGACAGGGTCTTGCTTTGTAGTTCAGGCTGGTCCTGAAGCTAACCTCGAACTCAGGCAATCTTCCTGCCACTGTCTCTTGAGTGTTGGGATTACAGAAGTGTGCCACCATCCCAGGCTTCTCTGTCTCTTCTGATCACCTTTGGCTTGGAGTCTACTGGATAGCTATTCCTACTTCCTTCAAGCCTCCTTTTACATGAAAGATTGTTTTCCATATTGTGATATTTAATCTATATTTTCTTTAATATTAAACGTGTTTCTTGTATGTATTATACCATAGGTTTTTTTTTTATCTAGTCTTCCAGTCTGTGTCTTTTAATTGGAGAATTCAGATCTCTTACATTGAGAGTTATTACTGAAATGCATTGATTGATTCCTGTCATTGTGTTGTGTTTCTATTGTTGATTCCTTCATTTTCCCTTTTCCTTAACTGCTCATCCTGCTTGTTCTATTCATTCCAGTATCTGCCCTGGTGTTGACTTTATTGTCTCTGTCTAGGATATCCTTGAGTACTTTTGTAGCATTGGTTTTATAGTCATAAATTTCTTGAAGTGTTTTTTGTTGTGAAAGCTTCTTAGTATTTCTCCAGTTTTTATTCATTAATTCATTGGTACATTTTAGGTATACAATAGGCTGGCATTCATTATTGGGTATTTGTACCTTGACATCTTATATCTTGGTTCTTATTTTAAAGATAGTTTTGCAGAATATATTAATCTAAATTAAAAATCATTTTCTTTAAGCACTTGAAGAACTTCCCTCCATACTCTCCTTGCCTTTAAGTTTTGTGTTGAGAAATCTGCAAGAGTTTTAATAGTTTTATCTTTATAAGTGATTATTGCTTTTCTTTAGCAGCTTTTAAAATTCTTTCTTTATGCTTCACGTCTAGGATTTTACTATGATGTATTGTGGGGTAGGTATTTTCTGATCTTGAGTCTTCAGGTTTCTATATGTCTCACTTATCTGTATGTCAAATTCTTTTCCCATATTTGAAAATATTCTATGATATCTCCAAACATACTTTTATGTCATTTGTGCTATCTTTTCAATTCTTTTTAATTCCAAGTAATATTAGTTTAGTCTTCTTTGTGCCATCTAGCAACTGTTGGATCCATTTTCCATGAACTCTGGTTTTTTTTCAGGTATTCATGAGTAGCTGACCACCTCATCTCATCTCATCTTATCTTCTAGTGCTGACACTCTCTTCTCACAAAGGAATTACCACAAAGGAATTATAAATGTTTAAGATGATGCAGATATAATGGACACATGAATGAAAGCATCACATTGTGGCCATAAATATGTACAATTATTGTGACAAAAATTTGAAAATA